AGTATATCACTCTCCAACTGAGGAGTGATATTAGCCGACCCAAACCAATTCAAAGAAGCTTCTAAGTCAAGACCATCACTCGCCAACGCCAAAATTTTGTTATACCACATTCCCGCGGCTGGCATTGCTCTAAATCTCGCCAATCGCAACTGCTTCAATTTCATGAATACATTATGCGGGAAATTACTATCATCATGAATTTGCAAACCTACTTTTATTTTATCCCTCCTCCTCAGAATTTTTCCCAGCGGATTAGTTTCGTTAATATTTGGTATTATACCACTAAGATGATTTGCTACATATTCTCCCATACTTATTGTGATTTTATTCCATGCGTCTTCAATGCTAATCAATCCCCTCCCCCCTTCATTCCTAGCAATATATAATAAATCAGTGCAAGAGTTATAATCATGCGCATGTGCCTGCCTAAGTTTGTTTCTTATTCTGGTGTCTAGTTCTGCTGCCTCTGATTTACTAAATAGACCAACTTGAATGGGATAATAAGCTACCGATATACACCACGAGTTGATGGCTTTTATAGTGTTATTCCCTGAGAGTTTAGTTTTAAGCACTCGTTGCACACGCCCAAGGATTATTCTTCCTGCATTCGCCTTGACCTCACTCTTTTCTGGTAGCATGTTCTGTGGTATTCCGAGATATGTGTATGTACCTCGATCACCTAGATATCTGATGCTCCTCAAACTTTCAGGAATTCTCTGTGGACATTCCGTTGATACCCCTCTACTAATATTCAGCCAAGCACATTTCTGTAGTCCAAATTTCAATCCCGCAAACTCTCCCACTTTCTGTGTACACAGTTTTCCATTCCACCCTCCTTACGTTCACGGCTATCGGCCCATGTCATCGGCTCTACAGTGAAGTCCACAACTGCTGATTGAACTCTTCCCTGATGAAGTCCTTGTGCTGCTGCTGGTGGTGTTGATGCCAACAACAAAGCGCTCGATCTCCCGGCATCCTTCCTACGTGGCAACTCTCTAGCAGGCTGATGAATAACTGACCGAAATTCATTATGACAAACCACTTGAAAGATCTAATACAGGTTAACATTCAATTACGAACCCGATCAGGTTCGATCCTTGGGTCCAATATTTATATAATCTATCTGGGGTATAGACACAATAGACGACATCTCTGAAATTTCCAGTAGGAAACACATTGTAGCACACATCGATCAAGAATCGAGCCTGGGTGCTTCGATGATGACCAAACAACATCCTTCCCTTATTACTCAATCCTTTCTCATCAAATTCTTAGGCCGTTGCATAATTGTTAGAGTCAGATCAGCATCATCCAATACCAAAGGATTCGCCCCACCCTCCAACAACAGGGATACAATTTCAAATCCTTCACAGCAGCCTCATGTAACCGAGTACCTCCATCAATCATTTACTCCAAATCGATCACGTGATCGATTTGGATCCCTACGATGATCCACTATACTAGACATATTA